AGCAGCCTGAAAGGTGATGTAAGTCCTACTGGATTCGTCATTTGGAGCCAGTACTGATGAGGTTGACTGTGATTAGATCCAGACTTAACTGTCTAGTCACTTTAGAGCCTAGTTCATAGGTTCCAGGATTATGGGAGCTTAAGCCCCGACTCCTCGATTATCAAAAAAACGAATTATAAATTGATGAGCGTTAAACAGGTACTACGTATATGAATTGTAATATTAGGTCCATATAGAGAGCACTCTTGAGAGTCTCACAGTATTACTCTTTAATTTGTTTGAGAGATATATAGAAGTTGAGTGCTAATACTGATATATAGGAGCCCGTTTAGTTGTTCCAAAAGGTCTGGGCACTGAATCGGACTGGGCCGATACAAAGAATATATTTCAAAAAAAAAAAATACACAAAATTTTTTACATTAATTTTTTTTTGACTCAGTCAGCCAAATGATGGTAGGCTTTTTACCCGTGTGCACCAGAGGTCTAGCCCAGCACGCAGGAGTTGTAACCTCCACGTGGTCGCTACAGGTTTCGAACCTTGATCATTGTTCCAAATTTTACATCATTGAACCAACTTAGCTACCAGTGCGGGTATAGGACCCCGTTTAGTTACCATTTTTTTGGCTTATCATTTTTATTGATCAATTTTTTCATAAAACACATAATTTTGTATTTCGCGTTGTGTTGTGTCGTCTAAATAAGTAATTAAGGTTGAAGTTACTTTATCACGAGATTGGTTGAAGTTATTCTAGAGGATCAATTTAACTACTTCTATATATATTTACTTTATTTTATTAACAAAATATACTTTAAACATAATTTTTTCATAATTTAACAGAATCAGTCAATTGAACCATTTAAAAAATTTAATTGGATAATGGTCAAATTGGACACTATTGTAATCTCATATTGGACACTAAGGTTTCAAATGTACTGGACATTATGATTACATGTGTATCCCATGGAATTTCAAATGCATCAAATTTAACGTTTTTCTGATTATTATTGGACACCCACTAAAGATATTTCACATTTGAAAGCTATAAGTATTCCTTTTTCCTTTTGTTTTATGTACCTAAAAATAAAAATAACCCAATTCGTGCATTTAGATTTAGAATATATAATTAGATGGTCCAATTACGAAAATCTATTGTAATGTAATTAAATTATTTAATATGAGTCGATATTTTCCAAAGTTTCATAAAAACAATATGAATGAAAAGTCCTAAATATATTTTTAAATTGTTAAATAAAAGAAGTTATTAATTAAAATTGAATTATACGAAGTATATTCTAAAACCTCCTATTAAATATTCCAAAATTATATACACAAATTAAATTAGTTTATTTTCACCAAAAAAGAAAAAGAAAAATAAGACTAACGATTTTAATGTATGATACACATATAACCATAATTCCCAAATTCATCCCTAAACACTTTTTATTCCTTTTTTTATCCTTTTGTTCTTATTTTTTTCGATTTTTATTATTTATTTCTTACTCTATTAGGAGGCTTTTTATCTTTTTTTTATGTTTTTCTTCTTAATCATTCTCTTCTTATTAAAGATCTTTCTCTCACTTTACTTTTTGTTATGTTTTCTTTTTATTTTCACTTTTTCACTTTTTTCTTCTTTCTTCTTGTTATCTTAATTCCACCATCAATATATTTTTTCTCCTTTCTATCCCTTCGGGGACATCCAATAAAATTGGGAAAAAGTATTTTTTTCTCCATTCTACATTATCGTATTTTCTAAGTAAGTCCAACCATTAATTCCATGAACTATGTGAAAAACTCTATGGGACAAAAGGATTAGGGAAAAATTTAATTAAAATAAAAATAAAACATTCGCGAAAATGAAAGAAATTAAAAATTATATTTTCCCGAATGTTTTATTTTTTTTTACATTTCTCAAATATTTTATTTTCTATAATCATTTATTCACATAGAATTTTTCCGCAATTGATGAAATCAATGGGTGTGTTTACTTAGAAAAATAGGATAATGAGGAGAGGAGAAAAAACATATTGATGGTGGAATTAAGCTAACAAGAAGAAAGAATAAAAAACATAAAAAAATTAACAAGAAGAGAAAAGTGGAAAAGTGAAAATAAAAAGAAAATATAACAAAAAGTAGAGTGAGAAAAAGGTCTTTAATAAGAAGAGAATGATTAAGAAAAAAAAACATAAAATGGGAAATGAAATAAAAATATAAAAGGAAAATGAAAACGACAAAAAAGAGCTATTGTGAAGAGAAATTTTACAAAAAAAACATCTCCTAATAGAGTGAGAAATAGAAAATAAAAATGGAAAAGGAATAAGAACAAAAGGATAAAAAAAATGTCTAGGGATGAAAATAAAGAAAGAAAAATTTTATGGAGAAAAAAGAAAAAATGAAAAATATGATCGTTTTGAACAGATTTGTGAAATGTGAAATTATTTATATAAATTTTCCAAAGAAATGGTAAAAAATCTGGTATAGTAGGTCATCAACATGTCAGGATCCAATGAAAGAATATGAGGTGTATAAGTAAAATTATTCTAAGATAACGTAAAAGTGAAATTATTATGAGAAAATATGAACTAGCAAAGATCCATGTGTGGGGAGATATTCATACCGATTCCGGAGTTAATACTCCATAGTCGTACTACGTATGATGTTAGATTCTTTGCACAGTGATAGTGTAGATTGAAGATTGGAAATTGGAATCCGTGCTCTCCTAGAATTTGTAGTAGTGTATACTGTAGAATATAGAATAATACGTAGTAAAATGACTATGTACTTCCTCCATCCCTTAAAACTTTGCCAAAGTTGACCGACACGGTGAATAATAAAGTTAAATTTGTGTGGTTGAGGTTTGTGTAGAAGAGAGAGAAATAACAGTAAATACAAAATAATTGATTAAAAGGGAAAGTGACAAAGATTTTTGGGACGTCCAAAAAGAAAGATGACAAAGTTTTAAGGGAGGGAGAGAGTATGTCAAAAGAAAGATGGAAGAAGAAAGACATCGCGTAAAAAAATGTAAAAAATGTCTAAAATATGGGTTAGTACCCCTTATATTATGTCCTCTTGAAATCTAACAACTTGATGTTTGTATAAGTTTCAGTAATCATAATTGATCTCAAACATTACCTAGTACCCCGTACTATTTTTTATAACCAAAGTGGTTTTTACAAGTAGAGGACTTACGGGTCCTCGGCAGTTGTTATACCGTATGATCGGTATACGGTGATCACCGTATGATCGGTATACGGTTTTATTATTTTTTTACTTCTCTTTTTTAAAAAAAAATGGTAATAATTTTGTTATTTTTGATCTGATTTTTATAAAATTTATATCAACATTTTTTATTTTTCACGATCTTTCAAATGAGACCAATATTGCCTATGTAATTTTAACATATTATCGAACTATTATATTAACCTATGTAAAATATGTAATTTTACGTGTAGAAATATGTAACTCATGTCCAGTCAAGCCAAATGCAACGCGTGTGTATAAATATGTAACTCTACGTGTAAAAATATGAAACTTTACGTGTAAAAATATGTAACTCACGTTCAGACAGGTCAAATACAACTCGTGTGTATAAATATGTAACTCGCGTTTATAAATATGTAACTTTACGTGTAAAAATATGTAACTTTACGTGTAAAAATATGTAACTCGCGTTCAAACAGGTCAAATATAACTCGTGTGTATAAATATGTAACTCGCGTGTATAAATATGTAACTTTACGTGTAAAAATATGTAACTCGCGTTCGGGCAGGGTAAATGCAACTCGTGTGTATATATATGTAAATTTATGTGTAAAAGTATGTAACTTTACGCACAAATATATGTAACTCACATGTATAAATACATATTACAATAAATTTTTTATATACACAATTTTAAGATAAATTGTGATTTACACAATTATTTTTCTGTATTAAATTTAGTTCGATTTTCCTTATAATCCAATACTCATTAATACAATAGTTCGATAATTTCTTAAAATTACATAAGCAATATTGGTCTCATTTGAAAGATCATGAAAAATATAAAATGTTGATATAAATTTTATAAAAATTGGATCAAAAATAAAAAAGTTATTACCGTTTTTTAAAAACAAAAGGAAAAAATAAAATAAAAAGTCTGTATACCGGTATACGATTCTCACCTTATACCGGTCATACGGTATAATTTGCCGGTCCTGGGGGGCAAGTGCCCCTGCTTCTGACACTGAAATTTAGTATTAGTAGTTATGATAAAATTAGTGCATCTGCTTCTTGATACTCCGGTATAAAACTATGATGATTAGATATGTAATAATTATGTCAAATAGCATATGTAAATTGTTGTAAGATATTTAAATGACTCTTGAGTTATGATGAAGCAGTTTCATACAGTTAGACATATTATTGACACGATCATTTTTTTGAAAAGTGACATTGGTGATTATTTTTTGTTAAGTATGAATTATCTTTTTCCATTTGTATATATTCTGAGACGAGAAAATTGGAGCCAAAAGTTTTAATAACTTTGTTACTTTATATAATATCAAGATATCAAGATACATGCCACATTATTAATACGGAGTATGAGATTAATGTAAATACATAACACAAGTGCATATTTTTTGGACATAAAATACTTTCTTATAACGTCCACTATGTTGTACGTAGTACATCTATATGTGCCCTATAAATTAATACTTTTGTCTTGTTGTATTTGTTTCATTTTTTCCTAGTCTTTCTGTTGACGTCCTATTCTTTTGCATGCAGGCCATTGACCGCACACGTCCACCTGCTATTCTATTTTATTGTTTATTATTTAATTGATAACCTTATCACATGTAAATAGTTGTTGTGTTGTTGCTATCAGATTAATACTCCCACTTACGTATAGGAGTTAAACTCTAATACGGTTAGTACGTAGCGGTTGATATTTGTGTAATCAATTGTATAAAAACTCAGCTCACGAAGCTTAATAGATATACAGAAATTTTTTCCGATCAATCCTTAATTTGGTGTCAGAGCAGTTAAACGATCCACGACCTAGCTATTATTCACGAACGTCTTTCACGACCCATTTTTTATGAACGAATCAACAATGACGCACACGACGGCCAACCCTTTGAACGACGAACCAAAGGGTTCAGGGGATTCTTCACGCACACCTGTGTTTACTGATGTCCAGTGGAGAAGTTTTCTCCAATTGATGAACCAGTGTAAGGTAGTGTCCCCTCATGGTAAGCTCTCGGGTAAGTTTCCTTGGTTATTAGACTCGGGTGCTTCTTTTCATATGACCGGCCAGGAATCTCTGTTGATGAACATCCGGAATATTTCACCAATGTCTGTTTTCTTACCGAACGGGGATGTTACATATGCAACAAGCAAAGGCGAGGTGCAGTTGAGCTGTGCCATTAAAATTACAAATATGTTATTAGTCTCTGGATTAACGTGCAATCTTATTTCCTTAGCACAGTTAATTGATGAACAGAAATGCGGTGTAATTTTTGCTAATGATGTATGTGTGATACAGGACCTACTTTCGAGGACGCCGATTGGAGCGGGTGAAAAACGTGGTGGGGTGTACTATTTTCATAGTTTGGATCCAGTTTGTGCTTGCTCAATAACAAAGGAGGACCAAAGTGATTTGTGGCACTCCCGGTTAGGACACCCGTCAGTCAAAGTTTTACGTTCTGTCATTAGTTTCAGTAATAATATACCTGCTCTTTTGAATTAAAGTTGTGATGCATGTTTGCGTGGAAAAAAGACTCGTGACGTTTTCTGTATTAGTGATTCCAGAGCACTTGAAATATTTGAATTGATTCATTGTGATGTGTGGGGGCCTTATAGTTTTCCCTCATCATGTGGAGCTAGATATTTCTTAACCGTTGTTGATGATTACTCACGTGCTGTTTGGGTTTTTCTGATGAAGGAGAAAAGTGAAGTCTCACAACTTCTTAAACAATTTATTATAATGATAGAATGACAATTTGAAAAACGGGTGAAAATTGTTAGGAGTGACAATGGAACCGAATTTCAGTGTTTGAAACCTTATTTTCAGAACAATGGAATTCTTTTTCAAACCACATGTGTATACACTCCACAACAGAACGAGAGAGTTGAACGAAAACACAGACATATTTTGAATATTGCTAGAACTCTCCGTTTTCATGCACATCTGCCAATTGATTTTTGGGGGAAGTGTGTGTTGGCTGCATGCTATCTTATTAATCGATTGCCATCTTCAGTTTTGGATTTTAAAAGTCCGTATGAATTATTATACAAAAAGGCACCTAAATATGACCACCTACGTGTTTTCGGTTGTCTATGTTACACACACTCACATGGGAAAATCAGAGACAAATTTGCTTCTCGCGGAATAAGGTGTGTTTTTTTGGGGTATGCTTATTCACAGAAGGGATGGAAATTGTATGATCTTGAGAACAACCAATATTTTGTTTCACGAGATGTAACCTTTGTTGAAACGAAATTTCCCTACGCTGATTTGGTTACGAAGGATGAATTATCACCAACTGAAGCTACCTTGAATACCGAAGGTGGGGGCCACGCCTCTCATTTTCCCGGTAACATGGAGGATGAATTGTATTTGGGACACAATTCCCAATCAGTTGGTCAGGAGACTAATGATACTGGCAGTTCACATGTGGAAACTTCACCAAGCATATCTAATAAAGGAACTGGAGTACACGGGGATTCTAGCAATAATACTACTTTGGATGACTCATCATCCACTTCATATCAGAATACGAACACTTCTCTTACATCTGACCGCCGAAGCACCCGAATTAAGCAGCATCCAATATGGCACAAAGACTATGTAGTGCAACTGAATACTATGAAAATAGACACACCACCCGTCGGTCACTTGCCTTCAACGGTTGACTCAGGTAATCCGTATCCCTTATCTCGTTATGTAAATTACAATCATTTTTCAGTACACCATCGTGCCTTTCTTGCAGCCATCTCGGCCACCAAAGAACCAACCACTTTTCGTGAAGCAGTTGGTGACCCACATTGGCGGGAGGCCATGCAGCGTGAGATTGATGCATTAGAACGAACAGGGACTTGGCAGGTGCAAGAACTTCCTCCCGGTAAGAAACCTATTTTTTGTAAATGGGTGTATAAAATAAAATATAAAAGTGATGGCAGCATTGATCGGTACAAGGCGCGACTAGTCATGTGTGGTAACCGGCAAGTACAAGGGATTGATTATGACGAGACGTTTGCTCCCGTTGCCAAAATGGTCACGGTGCGCACTCTTATGGCGATTGCTGCCTCCCGTGGTTGGGAGACACATCAAATGGACGTGGACAATGCCTTTCTTCATGGTGATCTTCAGGAAGAAGTGTACATGCATTTACCCCCAGGCTATTCATCCCCTCGACCTGGCCAGGTTTGCAAATTACTTCGTTCTCTTTATGGTCTTCGACAAGCACCGCGTTGTTGGTTTTCCAAACTGACAGCCGCTCTACTCACTTATGGATTTTCTCAATCTCATGCTGATTATTCATTATTTACTCTTCACCGTGATGGACACTTATTATGCATTCTTGTGTATGTTGATGATCTTCTCATCACGGGTACTAGTTCTGAAATGATATCCTCCTTCAAACATTATTTGGCTAGTATTTTTCCTGTCAAAGACCTGGGCCATATGAAATATTTTCTTGGCCTGGAAATTGCGCGTAGCTCGCGTGGAATTTTTTTGTGCCAACGGAAATATGTTTTGGATATTCTTGATGAGACAGGTTTGACGGGGGCAAAACCGGCGGATTTTCCCATGTCTCAGAACCATGGGCTCCAATCTGACGATGGTCCGTTATATCTGGATCCTGAACGATATCGTCGTCTGGTTGGTAAGCTTATCTATCTCACCCTCACTCGGCCGGACATTAGCTATTCCGTTCATATTCTTTCTCAGTTTATGCAACAACCACGGCAAGCTCATTGGGAAGCTGTTATCCGGGTGCTTCGTTATCTTAAGGGTCACCCGGGACAAGGAATTATTTTTCGCCGCAACTCCCCACTTTATGTTGTTGGATACTGTGATTCAGATTGGGCTAGTTGTCCCAACACTCGGCGTTCTGTTACAGGTTATTTCGTGACATTGAGTGGTTCTCCAATTTCGTGGAGGACAAAGAAACAAGCAACGGTCTCACGCTCCTCTGCTGAAGCTGAGTATAGGTCCATGGCTACTCTTACTTGCGAACTTCTATGGTTAAAAGGTCTTTTCTCCTCCTTACGGATTTCTCTTCCGCCCATGACACTATTTTGTGACAATAAAGCCACCATTCATATTGCCTCCAACCCAGTGTTTCATGAGCGCACCAAGCACATCGAGCTTGATTGTCATTTTATTCGCGATCATGTGCGCTCCGGTGATATTGTTCCATCTTATAAATCTACTCGTGAACAATTGGCGGATTTACTCACTTAAGCTTTGGGAGCTACTCAATTTCATTATCTTCTTGCCAATATGGGCATTCATGACCCCCATGCTCCCCATCTTGAGGGGGGTGTTGACGTTCTATTCTTTTGCATGCAGGCCATTGACCGCACACGTCCACCTGCTATTCTATTTTATTGTTTATTATTTAATTGATAACCGTATCACATGTAAATAGTTGTTGTGTTGTTGCTATCAGATTAATACTCCCACTTACGTATAGGAGTTAAACTCTAATACGGTTAGTACATAGCGGTTGATATTTGTGTAATCAATTGTATAAAAACTCAGCTCACGAAGCTTAATAGATATACGGAAATTTTTTCCGATCAATCCTTAATTTGGTGTCAGAGCAGTTAAACGATCCACGACCTAGCTATTATTCACGAACGTCTTTCACGACCCATTTTTTTATGAACGAATCAACAATGACGCACACGACGGCCAACCCTTTGAACGACGAACCAAAGGGTTCAGGGGATTCTTCACGCACACCTGTGTTTACTGATGTCCAGTGGAGAAGTTTTCTCCAATTGATGAACCAGTGTAAGGTAGTGTCCCCTCATGGTAAGCTCTCGGGTAAGTTTCCTTGGTTATTAGACTCGGGTGCTTCTTTTCATATGACCGGCCAGGAATCTCTGTTGATGAACATCCGGAATATTTCACCAATGTCTGTTTTCTTACCGAACGGGGATGTTACATATGCAACAAGCAAAGGCGAGGTGCAGTTGAGCTGTGCCATTAAAATTACAAATATGTTATTAGTCCCTGGATTAACGTGCAATCTTATTTCCTTAGCACAGTTAATTGATGAACAGAAATGCGGTGTAATTTTTGCTAATGATGTATGTGTGATACAGGACCTACTTTCGAGGACGCCGATTGGAGCGGGTGAAAAACGTGGTGGGGTGTACTATTTTCATAGTTTGGATCCAGTTTGTGCTTGCTCAATAACGAAGGACGACCAAAGTGATTTGTGGCACTCCCGGTTAGGACACCCGTCAGTCAATGTTTTACGTTCTGTCATTAGTTTCAGTTATAATATACCTGCTGTTTTGAATAAAAGTTGTGATGCATGTTTGCGTGGAAAAAAGACTCGTGACGTTTTCCGTATTAGTGATTCCAGAGCACTTGAAATATTTGAATTGATTCATTGTGATGTGTGGGGGCCTTATAGTTTTCCCTCATCATGTGGAGCTAGATATTTCTTAACCGTTGTTGATGATTACTCACGTGCTGTTTGGGTTTTTCTTATGAAGGAGAAAAGTGAAGTCTCACAACTTCTTAAACAATTTATTATAATGATAGAACGACAATTTGAAAAACGGGTGAAAATTGTTAGGAGTGACAATGGAACCGAATTTCAGTGTTTGAAACCTTATTTTCTGAACAATGGAATTCTTTTTCAAACCACATGTGTATACACTCCACAACAGAACGGGAGAGTTGAACGAAAACACAGACATATTTTGAATATTGCTAGAACTCTCCGTTTTCATGCACATCTGCCAATTGATTTTTGGGGGGAGTGTGTGTTGGCTGCATGCTATCTTATTAATCGATTGCCATATTCAGTTTTGGATTTTAAAAGTCCGTATGAATTATTATACAAAAAGGCACCTAAATATGACCACCTACGTGTTTTCGGTTGTCTATGTTACACACACTCACATGGGAAAATCAGAGACAAATTTGCTTCCCGGGGAATAAGGTGTGTTTTTTTGGGGTATGCTTATTCACAGAAGGGATGGAAATTGTATGATCTTGAGAACAACCAATATTTTGTTTCACGAGATGTAACCTTTGTTGAAACGAAATTTCCCTACGCTGATTTGGTTACGAAGGATGAATTATCACCAACTGAAGCTACCTTGAATACCGAAGGTGGGGGCCACGCCTCTCATTTTCCCGGTAACGTGGAGGATGAATTGTATTTGGGACACAATTCCCAATCAGTTGGTCAGGGGACTAATGATACTGGCAGTTCACATGTGGAAACTTCACCAAGCATATCTAATAAAGGAACTGGAGTACACGGGGATTCTAGCAATAATACTACTTTGGATGACTCATCATCCACTTCAAATCAGAATACGAACACTTCTCTTACATCTGACCGCCGAAGCACCCGAATTAAGCAGCATCCAATATGGCACAAAGACTATGTAGTGCAACTGAATACTATGAAAATAGACACACCACCCGTCGGTCACTTGCCTTCAACGGTTGACTCAGGTAATCCGTATCCCTTATCTCGTTATGTAAATTACAATCATTTTTCAGTACACCATCGTGCCTTTCTTGCAGCCATCTCGGCCACCAAAGAACCAACCACTTTTCGTGAAGCAGTTGGTGACCCACATTGGCGGGAGG